ATTTTAAATAATATAAAAATAGAACTATGACCCACACCCTGAAGCAACCAACCCAGGAAACCTCCACTCACCCATCTATCATCTAAAGTAACCAGCACAAGAAGCCATTTTGTTAATCTGTAAATCAGATTTGTAGGAAGACCACAATCTCTAATAACGATTGAGAAAACGAAACAACCTCTCTAACAGTTGGCTCCAAAAGGCCAGTGCTTGATTAATAACTGACAGCTTCCCTAATTTTTGTCCCCACTTCCACCTTGGGATCAACCAGACAAAAACAAATATGTATCCTTAACCAATCATATAGGACCTCCTGCTTTTAGTTAGTCCACCTACAGCTTACCTATGCCAACCACCTCCAATCAGGGCATACTTGAAGATTTACCTTTTTCCACTATACAGCTTTCCCAGTTCTCTGTCTGCCTTTGAGTCTCTGCCAAAATGTAAGTGATGGTGGCTGGCTCCTTTGCTCCAGCAAGCTGTGAATTAATAACTTTTGTTCTTATATGGTGGGCCTTTCTTTATTTCCATACTCATCTCCTTATTCAAGAAAAATAGAGGGAGATTTGATACTCAGACACACAGGAAAGTAGACCATGTAAGGATGAAGCCATAGAGCCCTAAGTCATGGAGCCACCAGAAACTAGAAGAAGCATGGAAACCTTTGAAGGGAGCAGGGTCCTGACAACACCTTGATTTGAGACTACTGCCTCCATAACTATGAGAGAATACATTTTTATCATTTACAGCCAACTAATCTGAGGTAATTTGTTATGGCAACCTTAGGAAAATAACAGAGCTTGTAACAAAAAAATTTGCATGTTATATGTCTTTTTCTGGAAGTACCCATAGACCTTAATGTAAATGGCTTAAAAACAACTGTTTAGATTTTTTAAATTCCACTTCTCGTGAGATTTACATGGTAATATGAGAATGTCTGGGGATTTCCCTAATAGTTCCCCGTAACAGCCAGGCACTATCTCTGCCATCGAAGTGCTCTAAGTCTCTATGAAGGAGACAGACGCATAGTCAAATAATTAAAATGTAGGAGGTAAGGGAAATACTAAGTCTAATAACAATCTCTAAGCAATTAACTCATTCCATTTATTTTATAAATCATAAGCTGCTAATTCCCATATTATGCTTAATGCTAAATGGTTAAGAAGGTCCTTTGTGGAGAGTCTGCCCAGTTCTGCTCCTAACCAATTGATTTGTACACTCTGAGGGGTTACTTGTGTTTTTCCCAAACCTGTTTATGTCAGTTGTACTTATTACTGTGCTTTCACAATTTAATTAAATGTTATAGAAACCAATGAAATAGTGTGGAAATAAAGTTTGTTGTTTCTTTAAAATCTATGTTTAATATTTTGGCAACACCCAATAAAGGTGAGTTTTTTGAATGTTAGATACTATGAAAGATTATAAAAAAGAGATCTTACTCAGCTTCACAAGTGTCTTTAAGGTATTTTCCTCTTAAAGGAAGAAAATCTTGGGATAGCTTAACTGATGGTTTAGAGGCATAGTTTATGCAAGAGATACAATGCAGAACTCTACTCAGCAGGCCATGTATAAAGAAAAGGCCTTGGCTTTCTCAATCTAGTGACAAATGAGCAAACAGTTGTTTTAGGATAAAACAAAATATTTATGGTATTTATGTTATACTTTCTCATGACTCTCTGGTTTGACTGACTTCCTTTTAAACAGATTTATTTAGACATAATTTATAAACCAGCATGTTTATCCTTACAAAAGATAGTGTACAATTCAGTGTTTATTTTTTTTTTCAATTTATTGCTTGGCTATAGGTCCATGCCACATCTATGAGAGGGCTTCTTCTGGATGAACAAAATGCTAAAGAAGCAATTGATTCCACTTGGTGAGGAAATGGGAATTCAAGGAAGGTTATGTTTGAACTTGAAGGGTCTTGAACAAGTAACAGTTAAATAAGTGGAGGGAACCAATGGGGGGGAAGGGACATCTGTAATACTTTCAACAATAAAGATAAATTTTTTAAAAAGAGAGAAGAGTATTTTAAGTGAAGAAATAGCATATGTAAAGGGTGAAATCATGTGGCCCTCCCAAGGAACAGCCTTGAGTTTGAGTGGCTTGGGAATGGGGAAGTTGTTTTTTCAAAACGAATTATGCATATGAATCATCTGTAGAGATTAAAACAAAAGAAAGCAAAACATGCCTAGACTTGACCACCAGAGATTGTTTCAAATGTATATCTGGAGTGGAGTCCCTGGATTTACATATTTATTTACTGATTGATTGAGTGTTAATCCTCACCAGAGAGTATTTTTTCCATTGATTTTTAGAGTGGAAGGGAGGGGAAGAGACAGAGAGAGAAACACTGATGTGAGAGAGACATATAGATTGGTTGCCTCCTGCCTGCACACTGACCAGGGCCAGGGATTGGGCCAGCAACCGAGCTTGACCCGAATCAAACCCAGGACCCTTCAGTCCATGGGCCAATAATCCAACCACTGAGCCAAACCAGCTAGGGCTGGATTTATTTTTTTAAAGTTCTACTTGTCATTCTGATGTGCAGCCAGGATTGAGAACCATGGCAGTTGGTGACTGGAGATGAGGTAAGAGAGTGTTAGAAGATGAGCAGTAGGACCAGATGAAAGGAAACAGTATGTCAATAAAATAGGATGACAAATTCTCTCTTCCCTGACAGCTTCTCTACATTGAAATGTTTTTAAAAAAATCTGTCACTATTGTAACATGAAAGAAAATTAATTCCCACCATTGTCTATAAAAACGGATAAATGTGTTAAACTGGCTTTGTAACTAAAAGACTGTGGGGCGCGGCTATAGTGTTTTGGACAGGTTCAAGCCTTGGACTGAGGAGAGGGCACAGTCCTCTCATTGCCACGTGCAAGTCCCAGCTTGCAGGGCAGAGCCTTCCCAGCACAATTATAGCCAACAGCTGTAGTTGTAAGCTTGAATCTGGTCCAAACACGTGGCCCCACGTGCCTGAGTGATAGAGTTCAGGTGCATGTAGTTGAGTAGGATTGAAACCAATGAGAATGCTGTAAACATCTTGGTCACGCCCCTACTTTGCCTTGTGGCATCTGCTGTAAAATAAAGACACGGCTTGTGAGACCCAGCTCATTCTCTTGTCTTTTCTAAGCCTATCGCCACCCCCACTCAGGGTCACTGAACCAGGCTGAGCTGGCGTGGCACATAAGGCGCCGTGGGGCTGAGTATGCCATGGCCATGCCGGCTCACCACAAAAGACCTCCTATTCTGGGCTAGTGATCCCATTCTCTAATTGGGTCGCCACCCCTTTGGGGGTCGAAGGACCCTTTCACAGGGGTTGCCTAAGACAATCGGAAAACACATAAATAATTACATATTGTTTTTGTGATTCATCACTGCTTTAATTATGTTCAATTTGTAACAATGAAATTGGGGGTCACCACAACATGAGGAACTGTATTAAAGGGTCGCGGCATTAGGAAGGTTGAGAACCACTGAAATAGAAGCACTTGTCCCCTCCAAATGCTGTTCTCAACTCCCAGATATGCAAGATTCTTTCTCCTTCAGGTAAAGCTTCTCCTGCCCTTATCACCTGAGCGACTATAAAATAAAAGGCATCTCTGCCTCCCATCATGGCCAGTTCCACTGAAAATATCCTTTCTCCTACTCTTTACCACAGCATCCGTCTTCCACATGTTTCATTTTTTAAAATAAATGGATGTTATACTCTTTGGGGCTGATAGGGTATGCTAACTTGCACCTTTATCACAATTTTAATGGTTAGTAGCTTCTAATTTTCTACTAGCGGCACATATTTTTATTTATTTTAATCCTCACCTGAGGATATGTTCTCATTGATTTTTAGAGAGGAAGGGAGAGGGAGACAGAGAAACATCCACGTGAGACAGAAACGCCAATGGGCAGCTGCCTCCCGCCCACCCCGACCAGGGTCCAACCCGAGACCTGGAGGCGCCCGCACCGCCG